TTCTCTCTCTGTTTCCCACATGTTGGAACCAGCTGAATGAGGAGTGAAATATCTGATTTTTCAGATATTTAACCCCTATTTATAGCCCCTTAATGTGCAATCCAAATTGCATCACATATTTCCGACTTTCGGAGCCATTTTTCATCCCAAAACGATTCATTATATCCCGGTTTAAGTTCAAATTAATTTTATTTAAAATTTTATTCAATTATAAGAAAATTTATAAATTTTATTTTTGGGAACCTTTGAAAAGTCATTCGTCACTCCATTATCTCGTAAAACGTATAAAATTCGACTATCTCAGAATTTGACAAAAATTGACAGGGCAGCTCGTTTTCGCGATACGAATCCAACGGTGAGGTCCGTTGCGTCATCCGAGCTCTAGAAAAATATGAATTTTAAACCCGCATTATAGTGACAAATTACCATTTTACCCTTTTTCCAAAAAAATTTAAATTTTTCTTGGGTTGTACAGTGTTTGACCCAAACCATGCCCCCGCACCCAAAAAAATAACTTTTGATGTCTCTGTGCATATGCAATGTAATGCACCATTGCTATTTCAATGTCATGCTTGAATGTAATGAATGTCACATGATCAACTTTAACCTATATTTTCATATTTCATTGCCACTCATATCATATGCATATAATAGCCAAATTTCATCTCAATATTAATACATCAAAGAGCATATATCAACATGTTCATATCCAACCATAATCCATAAGCATGTTATTTCATATATGCTAATAATACACTTAATTCACAAAGGCATAATTAAAGCATGTAGCATGTCCACACAATATCAAGTTCCATGGAATTATACAAGTAATTACCACATACCAATTCCAACCTAGGAATCTAATTGAAATTAGGTCAATTTCTCATACCCAATTCACCAAATCAATTAACTCCATCATTTTCACATCCATAGGTAAGTGATATATATTTCTATCAACCTACCCATTACATAAAACACCCTAAGTTGTAAAATAAACACGAGTAGGAAGGAATCCTACCTCTTGAAGCGTAACCCACTTGGTAGACACCTTCAAGAACTTCAATCAAGCTCAAACCTATGGTTTCCTCAAATCCTGTTTTTCAACCTTCAGTGAAAATCCTTGTTTTCGGTATGTAGGCGTAGCCCTTGACGAGGAGATCAACTTTTCCTCTTGGCTCGAGTTGATTCGAAGCCCGTGGAGTCGTAGATCGTAGAAATAATGTGGTATTGTTTTTCTCACTTTTCCCATCTTTCTCTCTATCGGCTAACCGGCTGAACAAATGGGGGAAAATCAGATTTTTCCCCCTATTTATACCCTTTATTTGCTTGGCCCACAACGCGTCATACGACCTTATTTTCTCGGGTCCGTTTTTGCCCCGGAACGATTAAATTTCGTCCTAGTTTAAGTTCAAAATATTTTTTTTTAACTTACCTTAAATAATTTTCCAAATTTTGAAATTTTATTAAAAAATTTGTTTTTGGGTGACCAGAGACTCGACTGTCTCGTAAAACGTAAAAAATCTGACTATCTTAGAATTCGATGAAATTTGACAGAATAATTAGATTTCGCGAGACAAATCCAATTGTGAGATCTGTTTCGTCATTCGAGATCTAGAAAAATTTAGGTTTTCAACCCGTACTATAGCAGCAAATTACTGTTTTGCCATTTTTGTAAAAAGTTTAAATTTACCGGGTTTTACATCCTTGGCTTCTCAAGTTGCTCCTTGGACTGTTTAGTTTAGCCACAACACTTTTACCAATGGTACGACTTCAATTGAAGTCATACTCTAATTCTCAGGGTTTTAATTATCAAAATTTTACCCCCATACTAATATTAATAAATTATATTTTAACCCACAATATTTTATAAAACAATATAATGTGTTTGTTCAGTCTCGCAACTCTTCCCCTCTGAAAAGAATTTTGTCCTCGAAATTCACTTCATACATTGATACAAATGAGTACCATATTCACATAACCTGTTTCATTGAACTTAGATATCACTATATCAATAAATTTCCACAAGGCAATTAATCAAATAATTTGATAAACTATCTTATATCAAAAAAAAATTAGAAATTGTAACTAACAATATTTTCATTTACTTTCCTGTATAAGCCCTTCTTGAAGTAATTGTGTACTATCTTTCCTGTATCATTTTTCATAATTTTCATATAAACTTCTAGAGACGATATGTCAATAATTTAATTCACACCTTAAACAATATTTGAAGATATGTCAATAATTGAATTTACACCTTAAACAAGCACTGAATGTAACATCACACAATCTCAACTTCATAAATCATAATTAAAAGTGCGATGGATTGTCACAAATGCTACACAATTCATGACAAACTATACATATACCACAAGTCACTCCACAAAACGTGATCTCAATAGTCTACCCACAATTTGAAATCAATTGGTTATAAAGATAATCAGTTATATCTCAATTATAACAGATAAACAATTGAATGAACACTATCATTACAAACACATACACACGTATGCTACAAAATGTACATTACAATTTAAATTCTGCACACTTACTACATACCACATGCTCATATAAAATTATAGCTATTTTTATATTATTTGTCTTCTTTTATCATGTCACCCACATAACGAAAATACCCTGCTTCTTTTCTTTTATTACATAACACAAATCTCACATCATTTTCTCCCGCGTCTCATATTTTCCCTTTTTTTTTTCCATCGTTTGCGCAATTATCCATCCATATTCATCAAGAATGTTAGTACGATTAAAATAACCATATATTAAGCCTACAAAGGCTACCAAATCATTTATTAATGCAAATGTCATACCATAATTTCACAATATCAGCATCCAATGCTACAAGTTATTTTTAGGACATTACCAACTCTACCTTTAGATGAGTATAACTAACTCCCAAACCAGTTTTAATATACGTCAACCCTTACAGATGAGTAACCATACCATTTACCCAGGATAAAACTACATATTTCTCGAGTTTCCACCTTGTTGAGTGGTTGAGAATTGACGTATAAATACATCACTCCATTTTTCTTTCCCCTACTCAACCTAATTTTTTTTCCATAAAGTTTCATTCAACCATATGAATCTCCAATTAACCAATTCACATAATTATATTTCCAACTATTTTGTTTCCACCTACACTTCATATTATAAAGTAACGAATACATATATGTAACCCCTGATGCATATCTAATAGCAAATTCATTTTCTCCATCCAATGATAATCTTGACAGTTTGTTTAACAACACACTACTGACAACTTAAACAACTTCCCTAATTCCTAACAGCATTTTTCACAGGCATCAAATTGCTATGTTCAACTTCCCTACAAAATACTTCCCAAATTTAATTGCAATATAATGCAACTTAAACTTACCCTTTTCTCATGATTCAAGAATTCTAATTCAAACTCATTCAATATCGCTAAGTCAACCCCTTTCTTTAAACAATTCATTATGCTATGATACACAAATAACATATCCATTTCCATTATTAACTATGAATCTTAAATATAAAGAGAAGTCAAGTCTATCAAGAATTTCTCAATTCTCTCACACGTTTAGCATAACCCCCCCATACAATCAATGTTTAAGACCATCATACTGCCATTTTGCAACAAATCTAAACAAACCTAACACACACATATGTAGGAGGTTGATCCCGCAACATAATAAATGCATGTACAACAAATGAGTAAATAAAATCAAACTCAATCACATTGCATATATCACTATGAAGAGGATTAATCACACTCTTCTTCACCCTAAACAACTTACAAGTATTCCCTTGTGTCATAATAAGAATTTTTTTTTTATAATTTCGGTATACTATTAAATTGTCTGTAACCCCTTACTATTAAAGATTTTATCACCCTTGATAGCGAAGTAATGAACTTTGCCAAACAATCATTCGTTGCACATTTTACCACACCGTAACCCAATCTAACCCCATCTATTTGTACTAACTCACAAGAGATTTTTCAAAAATCTAAGACCTCATTTTCCTAAGTATTATATTTTGCTAATCTTATAAACTGATATGTGATGTTGTATCAACTAGTTTAATCCCACTCAAATTCCCTTATGTTTTTCTTGATCACTCTAAATCAAAAATAATAATCACGAAGGCACAAGAATAAATTGCCTTCCATGCTTACCCACACACATCTCCTTTGGGTTATAATCATAAAACTTATTCTGTTCACAACAGTATTACTCCAAACATATTTGATATTTAATAGTTCTGCAACTGATCACCACCAATTTGTACCACTTATACCGTTATCTATCCTATCTCTCAATAGATTGAAAGTGGAAACATAAAACTAAAACTTCATTTATATGCAATTCAAATTTCATAAAAAATCAACAATTCATAATGCTATAATATTGCAAAGCAACACAAAGAATTGTTCATATTTTTTTAACATGATCACTCTCCTACCTATCACATCCTAACTAACTTTCGAGTTCTTATCTTGTCCACCGCCAACATAGACACACTTGTCTATAGAACCTATAAACTTAGGTTCTAATACCAAAATTGTAACACCGTAACTCGGGGTACAATATCTGTCACAAATGATGAGGAGAAACCAACAACCACATCTATGTCACCTTCATATACATAAAATAATAAAATCATATCATATGTAAACATACTTATTTAATTTTTCACTCTTAAAACAATTCCCATATGATCATTAAATCCCACTAATCCTTATACATTATTCAAAAGCAATCTCTAAAGATTAAAATATCCATCGTACGGGTTCAGGTCTCATATCACTATTCCTAATTAAACAATGGTTATCAGTCATGCACATGCATATCACATATGAATATGCATATAACAAATATTATATGTTGGTCGAATTCAGGTCCTACAGCTGGATTACAGGGTTTTATGGGAAACTCAATCAGACTTCGAACTTCTAAGCGAAGATATGGGCATTTCTTTGAGGACTTGAACTTGTCAAGGATCTAGGACTAAGGAAGGTGGAAGTGAAGACTGACTCTTATGAGGCTTACACTCTTCTATCGCAATCTCAAGTTGTGTGTCATTCAAGCAGAGTCTTAATCGCCAAATGCACGAAACTGCTGAGAGAAAGTAATAGCCAAATCACCCATTTGCCGCGAGAAGAAAATCAATGTGCCGATGCCCTTGAAAATTTGGGAGAACATCAATTGGAGAAATTCATCAAGTTTGGCACACCGCCAACGGAGCTTAATCGTTTACTGGAGACAAATCTTCCTAGTATTTCTTTTGTTAGATTTACTTCATCTTTTTGAACTTTCTATTGTACCCAAAAAAACAAATCTCCAATATGGAACTTTTGTCTTGCATGTTTTTTCTGTTTTCATTGAAAATTAGGAAATGAAGCTGGTGGAGTTTGTTTGAGCTGGTTTTTATTTTAAATACTCGAATGAGGTATCATACTGAATATTACAATTAAATAGAGCATGATTATATATTTTTTAGGCAAGAAGAAATTAAGTTATGCGAAAAAGAAGTCATGATCGATCATTAACATGTTAAAATTAATTATAAATAATGCTGTGTTATTTTTGTTAAAAAAATAATAGTAATTGATATTTTTTATCTTGTTAATGAAAAGATCATTAAGTTTAAACTACTCCAAATCAGCAGACAAAAAAGACAAACACAAAAGGACATAGATGATTTCACTCACAAGAAAACAAGTTCAAAAAAAAAATCTTGTTGGTGAGTATAAAAATGAAATACTAAAGTCAAGTGAAAGGAAGTCTATGTATAGACAAAGTGACACCTCTTTCAAAAAGTCATTAAATGAAACATCGCAACTTTTAGCCCATAAAGGTTGTCACTATTTATTATGTTGTAACCATTCATACCTGAAGTCATGACTATTCATGAAAGTGTGACGATTCATGAAGTAAGAGTTGTGACTACTCACTTCTTAAAAAATATAACCCTTGGATTAAAAATTGTAATCTATGCCTGATTTTTTATTAGTTTTTTTAGGGTCAAAAAATAATGTTTTGATTGATAGAATGGTCGAATCCTCATTTTAAAAGTTCATTGCGATGACACTGGTCATTTTCTTTGAAAAGAAAAAGAAAAAAAATGGAGGAAAAAGGGGTATTATTGTCATTCCATTTGGAGTTGGAGACTTCATTTGGGCCTTAAAACGAGAGGGGATTAAGTGTATATTTTTGAACATTAAAGACGTAATGTGTTCGTGACCCCCAAAAAAAAAGACGTAATGTGTTGGAGGGCATTAAAAAGTAAAAAAAAAAAAAATAAAAAACCATTACAAAAGGACAATCCAATCATATTGGAGCTCCCACTCTTGCTTGTCTTTTAATGCTGTTAGATTGGTCAATAGATTGTGAAATAAAGGAATCCCCTTTTTATGCAAAGTCGCCTCAGCTGAAATGAGATTCTCAATCCACTTTTCCGAAAATAATGGAAGTGGTAAATAAAGTCGGATATTCTGGTCTACGACGGTATCTTATCTTAGTGGTGTGTACTATTAGCTACTATTCATTTAGACTTTGATAGTGATAAATTTTATTTATAATTGACGAGACGTGATTTGCCGGACTAATCAAAATCAGACATGTGGCATATTCTCCCAACAAATGTAGAAGTGATAATGCTCAGCCTCGGAGGATGTCCTTGCAAAAAGGAATTCCCTCGGCATCGTCATGTTAATTAAAAAGCATTAGGATTTCCTTGGTATTGTCATATACGTCGATGAAGGATATTCATGGTTCAGACCGAAGAATGTTGACGCCAAGAAGATCAGAACACCGACGTAGACCTGGCTGAGGGGCATAAGAGGTGATTAACCTTACATGTCGACCACATCAATCGACATAATGGAAAACAGCTGGCCCTGCATTGGTGGAAACACCCACATAGGGATAAATGAAGGAATATCTTGTGAGAAATTGTGCCTGATTGTCAGTAGGTGTGTGTGGGTCCTTCGTCAGGTTTAGTAAAATAGTACACTACAACCAATCATAAGAGGAAACATTGAGAATGCTATAAATGATCTTCATAGGCAAGTGATAAAGTGACTAAGGAATGTTAAATGCTCAGGGGTGCATGAAGAGAAAATATTAATCTCTCGGCGCAAGACGTGGTGCCGAGCAATTATCCCTACAAAGCACATTATCAAACGTCAAATCTCATAGTGAATCCTCTATGCGAGTGTTAATGATTGGCGCCGAGAGATTAATGTCATTAACATGCAATAGATGGACGTGCATGCAAAGGATTGAGGATCGAGGTCAAAATGCCACTTTACTTGATGCCTAGCCCTTTGACGAGGTCAAATAAACATCCCTACTCAAGGGTGAGCCAATCAGGGGCCTCCCACCAAAGGGGATCGTATGTGATGGTGCGTGTTACACAATTGAGTAACGCTATGATCTTTAGGGGTCAGAGAATCACTGAAAAACCCAGTTAGAGCTCCAAAGTGGATAAGTTAATTTTTTTGTTGATTTCATAGTTTTAGATTGTGAGGAAGATAGGAAAATATCTATTATTCTAGGACGGCCATTCTTAGCAACAGGGAGAACACTTATCGATGTATAGAAAGGTGAGCTATCTATGCAAGTCCAAGATCAAGAGGTTATATTCAATGTATTTTCAGCAATGAAATTTCCAAAGGAACTAGAAGATTGTTTTCGGGTTGATTTGGTGGAAGATGCAGTGAATGAGGTATTCGTAGGAAGCTGTATTTCAGATCCCCTTAAGAACACAAAACTATATAAAGAGAAGGTAAAAAGGTGGCATGATAAGAAGATCATTAAGCGGAAGTTTGAGCCGGGTCAAGTTGTAACCCTTTTCAATTCGCGGTTAAAACTCATCCCGGAAAAACTCAAATCAAGGTGGTCAGGGCCATTCATTATTACAAAGGTGTTCATACATGGAGCGGTTAAAGTCGAGAAAGTCAATTCAAAGAGAACTTTTAAGGTGAAAGGGAAGAGACTGAAGCACAATTGGGCGGCGACATTGATCGTCAAAAGACCTCAATTACCCTTGCCAACTCGAGATGAAACAATAAGTAGTTAGGTTGAAGACTATAAAACAAGCGCTATTTATGAGGCAACCCAAATTTTAGTTTTTAAGTTTTACTTCATGTTTATGTCAATTTAGTTTTAGGAGTAATTATGATTTTAGAAAGTTAGTGCATTTTAATTAGTGCGTCAATTGCCTGTAGGTACCGAGGATCAAAAAAAAAAAATTTTTTTTTAAAAGGAGCATGCACAAGCTTAAAAAGGGAGTCAAGATTAGAAGCATAGTGCCTCAGCGCCTAGGCGCCTACCTGCTGGACAACAAGCTCTTCTCAGCGTTTGTTTTTGGCTGTAAACCAGTGCCTAGGCGCTTGCCTGCTACACTTGGCTATGTCCACAATAGAATTTCAGTGCCTCAACACTACAAACCAATGCCTAGGCGCTTCCTCTCAACCTCCACAGCGCAGCAATCCTTGTCCTAGCCCAACTGCCCTTGTGCTCGAAAAAAATCAGCAACATAAATCAGTTCAGCTCTACATTCATGAACAAGAAGCCCACCAAATCAACTCCTACCAATCCCAAAAATTTCAAACCTCTAAACTATATACACCCAACTCTTATTCACCCAAAATTCCATTCAATCATCTTGAATCTCTTAACCTCTTTTATATAACAATCTTACCTCTCATGTGCATCAATGAGTATCACCTAGAACCAAGAATTCCTCTATTCTTCCCATGGGTAACATCAAGCTTTACAACGTAAGAGACCAATTTCGTCCATTCTCCATGGGTAAAGATTACACCTCAACTATAGTTTCCTAGCCCACTTATGTTTTTCGAATACACTCTCGACTCAACGGACAACGAGGAAGCTGACAACGATGTCAACTAGCAAATTCTCAGGTAAGTCCTCTATCTTAATTTTTTCTACTTTATACATTGAGGACAATGTTTAGTTTAAGTTTGGGGGTGTATTCTTGTTTGCATTATTAGATATGCAATTAGATAACATGTTTTGTATTTAAATAGCATGTTTTAGTACGACTTGAGCAATGAGTTGATTGACTTTGATTATGGTCAATGATGAATGAGATTAATTGTCAATTCAAGGAAAATTGATGAAAATGTTGAGTCTGTAATTTGACATACTAGTTGGTTTACACTGTTTGTGATCTTTTCATGCACGAGCACATATACATCTATTTAGTTAGTTACTGTTTAGATAATTTATTTGGTTAAATGCTTGTGAGACATATCATTGAAACTCTAGAAAACTTATTTGAGCATCATTTAAAAGTGAATTGAGGTATTCATATAAGTTTGAGAGAAATATTGGTTATGATGGATTAGTATAAAAAAAATTATAAAAGAGTTTTTGAAAATTATTTTGATTTAAACCTTCGTGAATTAGAGAAAAAAAAATAGAAAAATAAGAAAGGGGCATGTGGTGAGTAGAGATGGAGCATAAAACACACTCACTCATAAACACATGCTGAGAACAAGATGGAGCGTAAAACGCACTCGTTCAAGAAAGGGTCAGATAGAGCGTAAAATGCACTCGCTCAAAAAGAGGTGAGATGGAGCATAAAATGCACTTACCAAATGAATGAAAAGAAAAAGAAAAAAAAAAAGAGTGAGAGATAAAAAAAAAAATCCTTGGACCTTCTAGTTATATGGTTACCTTAATAATCAGAGGTTGATGTGAAATGTAAGTTCCTAGAGTTGATATTGAGTATCTCCTATGGAGCGTTTGATTAAGTAAATATATCTGGGTGATGACTAGCTTGATAGTTCAGATATATATATGTATTTAAAGGGTCATGAGCGAAGATAAAATTAAGGAGTATGTTGAACTGTTAGACTTTACACTATTTTGAAGTTTTCTATGAATTATTATTTGTAATAACTTTTGGGGCCAATATTTAGATTTATATTGATCCATTGTTTGATTAGATGGTTGTTAGGGTTAATTGTTATAGTTTTTGTTCATAGTATTTTCCTTGAGGACAAGCAAAGATTGAAGTTTGGAAGTATTTGATGAGTGGGTTTTATACCTACGAATTGAATACTCTTGCCTTAATGAAATTATAAGTTTTCAAGTATTTTATGTTCATTTTTATTTATTTTGTGTGTTTTAATGTTGTTTTGTAAGGATCGTCATTTGAAAGGAAACAAGGTCATTTAGGAGCCTAAGTGTTGGATTATTTGAAGACTAAGCAACAAGGGCAGCTCTAGGCTTAAAAGGGAA